ATCGAACCCCAATTGCCTGGATCCTAGGTCCATGCCCAGCCGCTGAGCCACGCCCAGCCGGGCCCTATATTTCTTGTTAATTATTTCTAATTGCATTTCAGTGTGGTTAGAGAGTATACTCTGTATGATTTCTATCTTTTAAAATTTTTTAGACTTTTGTGTCCTAGGAATTGTTTATCCTACAAATTGTTTATATGCATTTAAGAAGAATGTGTATTATTCTGTTGGGTCAAGTATATCATAGATTTGTTAGGTCTAGCTGGTTTGTATTTCTTTCTTGATCTTCTTTCTGGTTACTAGTCAAAGTGGGATATTGAAGTCCGTAACTTTTATTGTTGAATTGTTTAATTTTCTGCTTTAAGGTTTGAGGGCCTCTGTTTTTAAGTGCATATCTGCTTGTAATTCTTTTATTTTTGATTGATTGAACCTTTTATAATTTTGTTTGTCTCTATTAACAGTGTTTTTGTTAATGCCTACTTTGTCTGATATGGTTTAACCTCTCCAGCTCTCATTTGGTTACCACCCAGATGTTATATTTTTTCCATCCTTTTATTTTCAACCTCTTTGTATTTTTTAATCTAACGTGTGTCTATTATCGAGAGCATATAATTGGATTGTTTTATCTGTTCTGCGAATCACTATCTTTTGATCGAGCATTTAATCCATACCATTTAAATTACTACTAAAGTATGCATTTTCTCTACCATCTAGATATTTATAGTCTCTATACCTGAGTCTCTATACTCTATGTTCTGCTATTCCTCTATTACTTTTTTGTACTAAATATTTCCAACTTACCATTTTTATTCATTTTTTTAAATTGAGTTACCTTTACTGTGGTTGCTTAGAGGTTGCAATTAACTTAAAACAATCTTTTCTTGATTAGAACCAACTTAATTTCAATACTGTTTAAAAACTGCATGATGGAAGGAGACTTGACTTGGGGTGGTGAACACAATACAGTATACAAATTCTGTAGTATAGAATTGTATACCTGAAACCTATATAATTTTATTAACCAATGTCACCCCCAATAAATAAATAAATAACCAATGTCACCCCCAATAAATAAATAAGCAAATTTTGCTCCTGTATGATGACACTCTCTTCCCCCTACTTTTTGCTATTAGGATCATATAAATTACATCTTTATATATTGCCTACCCATTAACCCAGATTTATAATTATTGTTGTATGCAGTTGTTTTTTAAAGCAGAAAGGGGAAAAAAGTTACAGACAGAAAATCATTTTTACTGTTTTGTATTTACCTGTATAGTTGCCTTTACCAGTATTCAATATATTTTTTTTAATGTGAATTTGATTTACTGTCTGATGTGATTTTATTTTAGCCTGAAGGACTAATTCCCTTTAACATTTCTTACACTCCTTTTTTAAAACTTGATTTGAGAGAGAGGGAGAAACAATTTGTTGTTGTACTTATTTGCGCATTCATTGGTTGATCCTTGTATGTGTCCTGAAGGTGGATTGAACTCACAACCTTTGCATATTGGGACAACTCTAACCAACTGAGCTACCCAGCACTCTTAATATTACTTACAGGGCAAGTCTGTTAGTGTCAAATTCTGTTTTGTTTGGGGTTTTCTTTTGTTTTGAGTTTAATCTGGGAGTATCTTAGTTTCTTTATTTTGAATGAGTTTTGCTAGATACAAAATTCTTGGTTGACTATATTTCTATCAGCATTTCGAATATGTCATCTCACTGCCTCTGGCCTTTGTGGTTTCTAATGAAAGAACAGCTGCTAATCTTATTGAGGATCCCTTGTGTGTGATGAACTACTTCTCTTTCTACTTTCAAGATTCTGTCTTTGTCTTTTGACAGTTTAATTATGATGTGTCTTGGTGTGGATCTCTTTGAGTTATCCTACTTGCAGTTTGTTGAGCTTCCTGTATATGTAGATTAATGTGTTTAATAGAATTTTTTATGTTCTTGGATATTGTTTCTTCAGATATTCTTTCTGCCCTTTTCTGTCTCTCTCTCCTTTAAGGACTTCCATTATGCTTATGTTGGCACATTTGATGTGTCTCACAGGTCTCTGAGGCTGTTTGCTTTTCATTGGTCATGTTTGTTTGTTTGTTTCTATATTCCTCATACTGGATGATCTCATTTGCCTGTGTTAAAGTTCACTGATTCTTTCACCTGCCTCCTCAAATCTGCTGTTGAGCCACTTCTAGTGAACTTTTCATTTCAGTTATGCTTTTCACCTCCAGAAATGCTGGTTGTTTTTTTGTTTTTGTTTTTCTTAAAATTTCTATCTCTTTTATTTCTTTTTAGTGAGACGTTGTTATAATTCCCATTAGGTATTTAAGCCTGATTTTCTTTAGTTCTCCAAACTAATTTTGAATAGCTGATTTAAGTCTAGTGTTCTGGCTGCCTTAGTGATAGTTCCTATTAACTGCTCCCACCTCCTCCCCCACACACACCATAAATGAGCCATATTTTCTTGTTTTTCCACGTCTCATAATTTTTGTTGGCATTTGAACACTTTAAATAATGTGACAATTGTAATCAGTTTTCTCCCTCCCCCATGTTTGTTATTGCTCTTTGCTGTTGTTTTAGCAGTTGCTGTTTGTTAGTTTTCCTGAACTGATTCTGTACTAATGTATATATTTTTTTAGTTTTTATTCTATGATTGGACATTGATTTCCTTAAATTACTGGAGTCCGTACATTTCCCATTGTTTGCCAAGGGGCTTGATGTACTTGGGACATGCTTCAACATTCATCTAAGCAGTTGACAATTCTGCCTCATTATTCACTTGATTGGTCAGAGGTGAGGGTTTAGGGCCTTGTTAGGTCTTTTTCGAATGTGTGCACAGCCCTACACTTGGATGTGACCTAGTATACCGGGACCATGTCAGAGCCTTTCAGAACCCCTTATGGACTTCTCACTCCCCATCTTTTCTTTTTTATGTTTTCTTTAGCTTATTTGTCTCAGCTCTTATTCTGTGTCACAGGCAGCTGCGGTGTTAAGTAATTCCTCCTGATTTTTTTAAGCAAATACCCTCAAGGGGAAGCTTGTTTGCACTGGATGAGCACTGATTCAGTTCAAAGACAAGCTGTGCAAGTTGGGTTTTACAGGGAGTTGTCACACAGGTCAAATAATTACAGTTTTGGGGAATAGAGCTTTGGAAAAAATCCAGCCCCATCTGATTCCTTCACTGACTACTAATCTGTTAGTTTTCACCATGATCACAGGTTTATTTTCAAGTGTATTGCTAAGTTGGAGAAATGAGCATGGGAATAGAGCAAGTTAAAATGCCACAATATTCACTTTACTTACTAATATTTAGCCATTTTAAAAAAATAAATGCTCCCAGATTTTGCAAGATTTTGATTATTTTTGAGAGTTCTGTAAAAATTGATTTTAATAATTGATTTTATGGTTAAGATGATTTTCTGGAGGTCCTCAATCCACAATTCCTACGGAAGCCACTCGGAATTGAGAAGTTTAAACTGAAAGCTATGGGAAGTGATTGAAAGGCTGTACACAGGAGAGTAATTTAACCAGATTTGATCTGCAAGTCAAGGCAAGTAGGATGCCTTATAGATGAAGCATCTTGAGTCCTGAAGAATTTAGGTGATTTTCCCCCCTAAGCAACAAGACTTACCTTAACAGAATAGAATAAGAAGCAGGTATCCAGATTTCCTCTCCAGTGTTCTTCTTGTGCTATACTGCTATTTTTCGTGGTTGGTTTAGTTAAACCTTAGCAAGCCTAAGAAACAAAAGAACAAGGATAGGCTGCCAGTCAGGACTAATAAAGTATTCATATGAGTAAAACTATCAAACACTGGTTCATAATATTATTCATAAATGTCAGTATATGTGAATGTTAAAATTCTTGTTGAAATAATTAATGCTTTGATTTCCAAGGGCAATAAAATAAAGGAGTGCCTTTCTTACCTTTCATGCAAAGTAGTTTTTTGGTTCAATTTTTTTCTTAAACTATTAGGCAAATAAGTGAACTATGCAAGTAAATAGCAACATTGGGAGAATGTAGATTTTTGATAATTCACTAAATTAATTTATACCGTCTAGTGCCCTAGTCAAGATGTTGAAGGTGCTCCTAGGGCCCAGGGACCTTGGGTCCTCAACCCACTGTGGGTTCTTTGCTTCTGGCAGAATAGAATTTAAAAATGAGCCAACAATAAGTTTAAAGTGAAAGTAAGTTTATTAGTGAAACAGTGAGAAAGAGTGGGCGGAATTTGCTTTCTTTACTGAGGTTAATTTAATCCGGGGGTAGGGTATTCACTAAGGAGGAGGAATATTCAGGATCTTCTTGGGAAAGGGGTGGAAATTTCTCAGAGGAGTTCCATTGGCCATGCTGTATCGTTATATAGGCTTTCCGTTTCTGATCATGGCCGTGCGAGGTGTGTTATTCAACATGCTGATGTGTTCATTACAATGAGCATATAATGAGGCTAGGGGTTACCATTAGTTGGAATTAGTCGCCATGGTGAATATAGCTGGTTTTCTGCAGGTTTTAAGTCATAAATCCTGTAGGGGTGGTCTTTCTTCTTGACAGTTCCTGTAGCTTTTATTGATTGCAGTTGTTTTACCACATACCATATCTCAAATATGGTTATGGTGCAGAAGAATAATATTTCTTTATGTTAATTGTTATTTTACTGATTCTCTTGCAGGCTTTGCTGTGCAGTAATTACACTTTATCATACACCTTGTTTTTCTAGTTTATCTAGAGTTTTCCCCATTAAACAGCCGTTTATTTTATGAATTTTACTTTGTGGGAGCACAAACTTGTGTTTCTGAGCTAGGCTGTAGAATCCCAGCACATTCCATCTGAGATTCCGTTTGTGATACGAACCTGCTCTGGGGGGGAGGGGTGTGTGTGTGTGTGTGTGCGTGTGTGCGTGTGCGCGCGCGCACGCGCGCGCCCAGTGTGGGGCTCTAGCATTTTTAACTGCAGTTTTATCAAAAGTGCAAAATTTACTAAAATTCCATAATTTTTATTTTTTATTTAGGTTATTTACAACAGGAAAACCTCACTTCTACCTGCCAGACTTTTATTTTGGAAAGTTCACATTTAAAAGAATATGCAGAACACTGTACAGATGAAGGTTTTATCCCAGCCTGCTTACTGGTAAGCGATTTCTTTCTTAAGGGAAATATTTCATTGACCAACATAAGAGACTGTACACACAGTCTTAAAATCATCTCATTAGCAAAATCGAAATTGGCAGAAATTTGATAGTTTGTATTCATGCGTAATTGGAAAGACCCAAAGCATGCCAGCTCTTCTTTTCACATATTTATGCTAAAGATGGTAAGTGAATTACAACTTTGCCTCTGAAAATCAGTTTCAGAATGACACCTTCATTTCTAATTAGCTTCACTACTGCTTGTCTGGGGCTTACAGTGGGAATTGAGTTCTCAAACTTAATTTGTTCTGGAAGGCTGTTTGAGAAGCTATATATTCCGTTTGAAAATGGAATCATTTTTTCCCATTAGAAATAATGTAAATTGAATTAATTTGTTCCAGACCCCCAAATGATTGTTTTAATCTTTCTCATGTACAGTACATGTCTAATATACTGTTTAATCTATAAACAAGCACTTCTTTTCTTAAATTTATCAAACCACCCCCACTAGTCTTAAACGAATCACTTTAAGCACTTGTTCCCAGGGTGCATCATCTTAGCTTTTTCACATATCACTGCCTCTGAAATGCTGTCTAATTGCTTTTTGTTTATCCAGATCAACAACAGTTTTTCTATCTCTTCAGTTGCCTGTGATCTTTGTTTCTTTCACACCCTTAGCAACATTGGCGTTCTTGATGGCCTCTTTATGTTTTAAAATTGTGCTAATCGTCCATTTCTCCAGCAAGAAAAGCAAAAAAATAGTAACACAAAAATATTCACAGCGCAATTTCCTCAGGTGTTAGCAAGGCAAGGTTTAGCTATAAACTGACTCATTGACCCATTCTTTCCTTTGTGGCCTGAGGGACACTTTTTGTCATGCTGATGTATCAGCTTCAAAGGGTTGTCAGGTCTAAAACTGAAGAAGACCTTTTTTCCTTGAACAACTTGGTCGAAAACTGAATTGTTCAAGATGGGAGTTTTTAAAGAACCAAGGTTTGACTGTGCTTGTTTCCTGCCTGTTATGGATTGAATATTTGTACCCCCTTCAAAATTCATATCTTGAAACCCTAACACCTAGCGTTGTGATATTTGGGTATAGGGCTTTTGGGAAGTAATTAGGTCTAGATTAGATCATGAGGTTGGGGCCCTCATGATGAGATTAGTGCCTTTATAAGAAGTGTGAAGGAAAGAGATCTTTCCATGTGCACCCACCAAGGAAAGGCCATGTGAGCACACAGCAAGAAGGGAGATGTCTGCAAACCAGGAAGTTGGTTCTCACCAGGAACCAAATCTCCCATCACCTTGTTCTTAGACTTTTCAGCTTTCAGAACGATGAGAAGTAAATGTTATTTAAGCCACCTGGTCTATGGTATTTTACAGGAGCCCAGCCATTCCTATTTTGTTGCTTATTTCAGACAAATATAAAACAGGTATTTTGATATCTTGTTGTCACCACTTTTTTAAGTACCACTGGATCAGTAGAGCATCATTTGATATAGATTGGATATATTCTGGAACTGCATTATTTGAAATGATATTTTGTCATTTTGTTATGAACATAGCATCTTAGATTCATTTTATCTGTCACAGGCAACATGATTATCCATGGAGGAAACGTAAATCTGCAGAGCTGCTAGAGTTTAGCAAGGTCACAGGATGCGAAATATACAAAAGTTCATCATATTTCTTTATATTCACAATGAACCATTCAAGTTGAATTATTTTTCAGTTACAGTTTACATTCAGTATTGTTTTGTATTCATTTTGGTGTGCAGCATAGTGGTTTGACAATCATATACTTTACAAAGCGTTCCCCCCAATATTTTCAGTAACCACTTGGCACCATACAGTTATTCTAACATTATTGACTATAATCTCTTCACCTTTTTCACCTGGTTCCCCAAACCTCTCCTCTGGCAATCATCAGTCTGTTCTCTGTATCTATGAATGTGTTTTCAGGAAATTGAATTTTTTAAAAATACCATTTAAAATAGAAACAAACATAATATACTTAGGTAATAAATCTAACAAAAGTGTATAGTATCTGTATTCTAAAATCTACATGAAAGAAACCAAAAACTTGATTAAAAGGAGATATATTATGTTCGTGGATTGAAAACCCCAATATTGTAAGTTGTCAAGTCTCCCCGTTTTGATCTATAGATTCATTACAGTCAAAATCTCCACAGCTGCCCTGGCCCTGTTGGAGCATTGTCCCATACACCAAAAGGTGGCAGGTTGGATCCCTGTTGGGGTTTATATGGGAGGCGACCAATTAATGTTTTTCTCTCACATCAATGTTTTTCTCTCTCTCTCTCTCTCTCTCTCTCTCTCTCCCCCTCCCTCACCCCTCTCTTCTACATCTAAGATAAAGATAAATATAAAATAAGATAAAATTTAAAATCTCCACAAGCAGTTTTGTAGATAGCAACAAGCTGAATTCTAAATTTTATATGGAAATTCAAAGAAACAAAAAGGACATATTGGAGGACTCAGATACTTGATATTAAGACTTACTAACAAGCTATAATAGACAAGATTGAGTGGCATTAGTGGAAGGTTAGACACACAGATTTAAAGTATTCCCAAGTGGCCTTTATTTCACAAAATTATTTCCAGTACCACTTTTACTATATAATACTATTTAAATGAACAAAATTGGAAAATTCACAAATTATGTTCTTTAAAAAGTCACTTCTTCTACTTTGAGGCTGTACATTTCAGATAGCATTAGTTCCCAAGCCTTAATCAGTGAATTCTTACCACTCCTTCATTCACCTGAACTTGGACTTTTGCAGTAGGTCAGGTATACATACACCAAAGGAGCTTCTGAATCATGTCACCTCTGCTCTTGTGTGGTTTTCCTCCATTAGTAAATCAATTAGCCAGTCTCTGAAAACCTCACCCTACATGGGATGAAGTCTACTTTTACTACAAAGGATGATGGAATACTAAAACACCCAAGAATTTTAGTTAATAAGGTAAAAGTGAGGAAAACCTCATGAGACCTGTAGTAGTTTTTTATCGCTACTGTGCCAAATTATCACAAACTTCGTGGCTCAAAACATAATTTTATTACCTTACAATTCTATTGGCCAGAAGTCCAACTGTTTTCAGTGGGCTTACCTTCAAAATGAATGTGTCGGCAGGACCAATTCCTTCTGGAGGCTCCAGAGGAGAATGTGATGCCTTGCATTTTCCATCTTCTAGAAGCCACATGCAATCCTTGTCTTATCCTTTCCTCTGTCTTCAAAACCAGTGACACAGCTTGTGGAGTCTTTCTTACAAGTCTATTCAACAATATCGTCTCCTTCTACATTAAAGGACCCTTGGGATTTGATTGGGTTCACCCAGATAATCCAGAAAGTCTTATTTTAAGGTCACCTGACTAACAGTGTAATATTCTGCCAATTGCAGACCTGAATAGTTCTAGTTTATAGAGCTTGAATACACAATTTTTTTTTAATTAAAAATTTTTAATGTTGACACTGTTGCAGATGTCCCCCATTTTCCCCCCTTTGCCCATCTCCACACGATTTCTTTTAGGGGAGAACTGTTGCTATTTGGGAAGTACTCTTTTTTATTTTAATTTTGGGATGTGGGATGTAAAGCTCTATTTAATTAGAGTGTAGTTGACATACAGTATTACATTAGTTTCAAATCTATAACATAGTGATTTGACATTTATATATTTTATGCAGTGATCACCACAGGAAGCCTAGTAACCATCTGTCACAGCATAAAGTTACTGTGATAGCCATAGCTGGTTTTGCTCAGTAGTTCAAGCATCGGACTGCGGACTGAAGGGTCCTGGTTCGATTCCAGCCAAGGGCACATACCTCAGTTGCAGGCTCAATGCCCAGCCCTGGTCAGGGCTCGTGCAGGAGGCAACTAGTCGATGTACATCGATGTCTGTCTGTCTCTGTCTCTCCCTCTCCCCACTCTCTTCCCCTTCCACTCTGAAAAGCAGTGGAAAAAGTATCCTCAGGTGAGGATAAAAAATAAAGTTACTGCGATATTACTGACTGTATTCCCTATGCTGTACTTTATATCTGTGACTTATTTATAAGTTTCTATCTCTTAATCCCACTCAACCTTTTGCCCACCACCGCCCAACCCTCTGGCAACTATCATTTTGTTCTCTGTATTTATGAGTCTGTTTTGTTTGTTCACATTTTTAGGATTCCACGTGTAAGTGTAATGATACAGTATTTGACTCTCTGACTTATTCCACTTAGCATAATACTCTGTAGGTGCACCATGCTGTTGCAAATGGCAAAGTTTTGTTCTTTTTCATGGCTGAGGGATATTGGCGTGTGTGTATGTGTGTGTGTGTGTGTGTGTGTGTGTGTGTGTGTGTGTGTGTGTGTGTGAGGGAGGGAGGGAGAAACTTGTTTTTTTGTTTGTTTTAAAGATATCTTTATTCATTTCAGAGAGAGGAAGGGAGAGGGAGGGAGAGAGAGAAACGTCAATGATGAGAGAGTCATTGATCGGCTGCCTGCTGCACGCCCCTGACTGGGGATCAAGCCCACAACCCGGGCATGTGCCCTGACTGGGAATCGAACCCCTGGATCCTAGGTGGTCGCTCAACCGCTGAGCCACGCCCGGCTGGGCGAGGGGGAAATTTATGTATCCAGTCATCTATTGATAGACACTTAGGTTGCTTCCATATCATGGCTATTGCAAATAACACTTTAGTGAACATAGATGTGCACATATCTTTTCAAATTAGTGTTTTGTTTTCTTCAGATAAACGCCCAGAAGTAGAATTTTCTCTTGTTATAACCTTTGTTTTAAGGTATATTTTGTCTGGTTTAAGTATTGCTATCCCAGCTTTTTGTTTGTTTCCATTTTCATGAAATGTATTTTTCATCTCTTTACTTTCAGTCTATGTGTGTCATGTCAATCTGAAGTGAATCTTTAGGCAACATATATAAGGGTCTTGGTTTTTTATCCACTTAGTGATGTTATGCCTCCCCCCCTCCCCCATTGTCTTTTGAATAGAGCAATTATTTACGTTTAAAGTAATTACTGCTAGGTATGTACTTACTGTCATTTTCATTGTTTTCATACTTGCTTTCTAAGTGGTTGATCTACAACCTTTACTATATGTTTGCCTTTACTAGTGAGATTTTTTTTTTTTTTCTTTCATATATATTCTTATTTCTAGTTTTGGCCTTTTCTTTACCACTTAAAGAATTCCCTTTAACATTTCTTGTAATGCCAGTTTAGTGGTGAACTTCTTTAGCTTTCGCTGGTTTGGGAAACTCTTAATCTCAATCTGAATGATAACCTTGCAGGTTAGAGTATTCTTGGTTATAGTTTTTTTCCTTTCATCTTGGTTATAGTTTTTTTCCTTTCATCATGTTGAATATATTCTGCCACTCTTTTCTGGCCTGTAAATTTTCTGTTGAGAAATCAGTTTATAGTCTTATGGGCTTCCCTTATATGTAGCTAGTTATTTTTGCCTTTAACCTTTGCCATTTAAATTATGATTTGTCTTGGTGTCGGCCTGTTTGAATTCATCTTGTTTGGGACTCTGCATTTTCTGGACTTTTATGTCTATTTCCTTCACTAGGTTAGGAAAGTTTTCTGTCATTATTTCAAATAGGTTTTCAATTTCTTGCTCTCTCTTGTCCTTCCAGCACCCCCATGCTGAGAATGTTGGTATACATGAAGTTGTCCCAGAGGCTTCTTACACTATTTTTCTGGATTCTTTTTTCTTTTTGCTGTTCTGATTGGGTGTTTTATGCCTCCTTATATTCTAAATCGCTGATTTGATTTTCAGCTTCAGGTACTCTACTGTTGATTCCCTGTAAATTATTCATTTCAGTTAGCGTAGCCTTCATTTCTGAATGGGTTTGGTTGTTTTTTTTTACAGTTTCCATGTCCTTTTTTATGCTGTTGAAATTCTTTCTAAGTTAACTACTCTTCACCTATGTTCATTGATCATCCTTATAACCAGTGTTTTGAACTCTGCATCTAGTAGATTGCTGGTCTCCATTTTGTTTAGTTCTTTGTCTCCTTATTTTGGCAGCCTCCCTGTGTTTGTTTCTATGTATTAGGTAGAGCTGCTACATCACCTGGGTTTGGTAGAGTGGCCTGATGTAGTATATATCCTGTAGGGCCCAGTGGCACAGCTTCCCCATGTGGACTCGGTACACCCTCCTGTTGTAGTTGAGCCTTGATTGCTGTTGGCATGTCAACAGGAGGGATTTGCCCCCAGGCCCATCCACTGCAAGGACTAGCTGCAAACACCGTCCACTGTCAAGGATCAGCTGTGCAGGAGCCCACCCCACAAATCAGTACTTTCTTCTGTTCAGCTGTGGTGCCCACTGAATCTGCCCCTTGAATGTGTCACTGTGGTGGTAATTGGGTGATGTTTTGACATGGTCTGAAGCTGTCCACTGGGTATGCTGGCTCTGGGGCCTCCTGGGAGGTGCAGGCTAAGGTTAGCACCCCTCACCCCCACCCCCCGTGTTCTGTCCAGGGCTACCTGGCTTGAGTTACAAAGCAGTCTGCAGCTGCCTGCTACTTGTGCTGGGCTTGGAGTTGCCCGGGAGAGACTAAGCTGTGAACCTGGCTGCTACTAGCACTGGGCCTGGGGCCACTTAGCACAAGGCACACTTAGACCAGATGCTGCTTATTTGAGAGGTTTCAGGAAAGTGAAGCGTGAGAAATTCCTGTAGAAAAGGCACTGGAAACAGCTTGAGTGGGGCCTCAAGTTTGGTGGGGTGGCATCTCAGATATGGCTCCCACCTGCCGGCTCTGTGGGGGGAAGACTCAGTAAAGGAACAATGGCGTCTGCTAGCACTTCTCTCTGGCAGAATACTGGACACCCCACCCCACCCCACCCCTCAGCCCTCCTAGCTCTTGTCCTGATGCCTGACACTTCAGTTCCTCCCTGTATGTCCCTGGTGCCTTTTGAGCTGCTATCCCAGTACTGGAGCTCAGAAAGACTGAGTCAGAGTAAGTCCATGTGCTGGCCCTTTAAGAGGAATACCTGGGACTCCAGCAGCCCTCAGTCTCTGGCAGTGAGTTTTTAGATAACGATACCAAAGGCACTGACTATAAAAATTCAACTTTATAAAATTAAAATCTTGTGCTTTGTAAGATACAGCATTGAAAGAGTGACAAGCCACAGGCTAGAAGAAAATATTTGTAACTCACATTTCATATAGGATATGTACCCAGAATATGTTAAAACCTCCTAAAATTCAAAACAAAACACCCACAAACAACTGCCTTTTTTTTTTTTTTTTTTTTTTTTTTTT